GTAATGGTGCCAGAAAGCTCCTGGGCCTTAGCAATCTTCTTTTTTTTTTTTTTTAGATTTATTTATTTATTAAGTATACAACATTCTGCTTCCATGTATGCCCGCACGCCAGAGGAGGGTGCCAGATCTCATTACAGATGGTTGTCAGCCACCATGTGGTTGCTGGGAATTGAACTCAGGACCTTTGGAAGAGCAGGCAATGCTCTTAACCTCTGAGCCATCTCTCCAGCCCCCGCAATCTTCTTATAGTATGGACGGGGAACCTGATCTTTTTTTTTTTTTGTGAGTGTTTTTTTTTTAATATTTATTTATTTATTATGTATACAATATTTTGTCTGCGTTTACGTCTGCAGGCCAGAAGAGGGCACCAGATCTCATTACAGATGGTTGTGAGCCACCATGTGGTTGCTGGGAATTGAACTCAGGACCTTTGGAAGAGCAGGCAATGCTCTTAACCACTGAGCCATCTCTCCAGCCCCGGGGAACCTGATCTTTAAACGCGGCCCTTGGTCGGCAGTCAATTAGACCATAACAAATGCTATTTTGAGTAGCAAGTGGAAGGGAGAGTAATTAAACCAAATACTGGATTTTTTTAAAAAGTAAATGGAATTGTGGGTGATAGTAAAATTCATATTCAAGATAATTAGCTTTTGCCAATTTCAGACTGGAATTAAAAAAAAAACTAGCAGGCTTGTTTAACACAGACTGTAGCAAAGCTGTCTCCTTTCTGTAAGAGTTACAGAACTGTCTTGGGGTTCCCCTGTCTTTGCCTCCCACCCCCATCTTGCCTTGGGAGCACTGGGGTTGCGAACCTGTGCTACTGAGCCTTGAACTCACAGAATTTGGAGCCAGGTTCTCACACTTGTGTGGCAGGCACTTTACCCACTGAGCCATCGACCCAACAATTTTATGCTTTTTGTGTGAGTAATATCACATTGTTTTTGTTTTGCACGAGAAAGAATGTGGATTTGTAATTTTCTAATCCTGCTTTTACTCAATGAGACATTAGTCTTCAAAGGCTTATGAAATACTATGCCCTAATGTATAGTTACTTTATAAATGAAATGTCTTCTTCTAGTAGTAATGGGAAGCGCAGTCACTGACTGTTACGTTCTTGACCTATCAGGTGGGATTTAATAATTTTCTTAAGTACATAGATAGAAAACTGAGACACAGATGTTGAAGATGTACCCAAAGTTAAGTAGCTGTAGTAAGACCCTGATGCATAATTAAAACATGAGCAATTCGAATTCAGATTGTAGGGTCTGGATTGGCCCTCGACAAACCTGCAGCAAGGTCGTTGTCTCAAAGGTGACACGGGGTCCCATTTTAAGGGCGCAACAGTTTAGAGAATGTTTGTCTGTTGTTGAAGTGTTTGCTGTTTATAGCTTTTCAGTGATCTAAACATTTTTATGATAAACATCCCCTCTGTACGTTGTGACAAACTTGTTATTTTCTCAGGCAAATTCATATAAGAATTCTTGAGTCACCTTTAAAAGAAAAGTAAGTGTGTGTGTGTGTGTGTGTGTTGATAGCTAATGGAATAGCCCAGTGGTAGCATCTAGCATGAATGACAACCTGAGTTAAAGTCTTAACACTGAAATTGATGAATTGGACATTGAGTCTAATGTTTCAGTCCCTAATGTCTAGAACTTTAAACAACTTGGTTTTGAAATGAATTTATTATAAGAAAATAATCTTCAGGGCCGGGCGGTGGTGGCGCACGCCTTTAATCCCAGCACTCTGGAGGCAGAGGCAGGCGGATCTCTGTGAGTTCGAGACCAGCCTGGTCTACAGAGCTAGTTCCAGGACAGGCTCCAAAGCCACAGAGAAACCCTGTCTCGAAAAACCAAAAAAAAAAAAAAAAAAAAAAAAAAAGAAAAAGAAAATAATCTTCAGGAAAGACACAAGCCCTTTTTTCCTTTTCTTTTTTTTTTTAATTAATTTTTTTAAAATTTTTGTCTCAGAAGTAAATGAAGGGGGCTATTTTGTGAACAAGGTTTCCAACAGAAGGGAATCCCTTGGCAAGAGTATAAACAGCTTTGGCAGAAAGCCACCCTCCAAAGGAACAGGGCTCAGCTTGTCTCAAGCTAGTGAGTGAGGATGAGCTCAAGTCAGCAGGGATGTCCCTGGAACAGCGATGGCAAGGGGCTGTATGGGTGGAGACACTGCCTTACAGGGAGCTCCCACATTGAGACTCCTGGGGTCTGTCAGATGTATGACTGCTTCAAAGAGGTTACTATATTTTATACGAATCCACAATGTTCCCCTTATCTCTCATTACAAACACAATAATGACTAATAAATGCATAAGGTATTAATACTATGAGCTTGGGTTGTTTCCTTCCCCCTCTCCCTTTTCCCACAGTAAGTAAGTAAATGAGTAAACTCTGCATCTACAAAAGCACATCTGAGGGTGAGACCTCTTCAGGGCTACACATACAGAAAGCACGCTATGCTTGTTGTGTTCTGGGGTAGCTCTGGATGGGTTTGTATTCATATCGTTTATCTTGCCTTTTCAAAATGGAAATTTGTGTGTACATGTGTATGTATGCATGCGTATTAGACTTGTAATGCTGTTGTCTGTCAAGAATCTCCCTTTGTTTTTAGTATAAGCTTGGGGACTCAAAGTCAGATCCTTGAGCTTGCAAAGCGAACATGTTACTGAGACCTTCAGCCTTATAATGTCCTTTTTTATTTTCCTCTTTGAGACAAAACTTTGCCATGTGTTCTAACTGGTCTGATTCTGTATAGTTAGTTCATGCACACCTCCAATTTATGTCACTCGTCCTGCCTCAGTTGCTGGAGTACTGTGGTTCCAGGTGTATGTCACCATGCCTGGCTTTCAAAATGACCCTTTTAATTAAGAAAATTGCTATCTCTTTGATTGAATTTCTTGGAAGAATGGATAACAAGCCAGCCATCCCTTCCATGTGTAATTATGTGTGCATTGTGTGTAGCATTGTTGATTCAGTGTAGTTGGATGTGATACATATGAAGGATCAGTGAGATAGTAATAAAACTCAAGTGTCTATTTCCAGTTGCCCCTGAATGACTGGCAAGAGAAATAGTGGGTGGTATCACACACATGCACGTGTGCGCACACACACGCACGCATAGACACACACACACACACACACACACACACACAGAAATATTGATCTGGCCGGGCGATGGTGGCACACGCCTTTAATCCCAACACTCGGGAGGCAGAGGCAGGTGGATCTCTGTGAGTTCGAGACCAGCCTGGTCTACAGAGCTAGTTCCAGGACAGGCTCCAAAGCCACAGAGAAACCCTGTCTCGAAAAACCAAAAAAAGAAATATTGATCTACACCATAGCAAAACTTCCTCCTTATCTAGTCAGTAAAACTCTGAGTATTTACTGTTGCCTGACATTTTTTATCTGTTATGTTTGTTTATCTAAATCCATTCCTCCTTGCTAAAAGCCTGTGGTCCCTCCCCATAAGTCCCTCATACACTTAGGGACTTCTGCTACACAACAACTTTGGACCTTTCTTTTTTTTTTTTTTTCAAATTTTTTTTACTTTTTCTGTATACAATATTCTGTCTCTGTGTATGCCAGCCGGCCAGAAGAGGGCACCAGACCTCATTACAGATGGTTGTGAGCCACCATGTGGTTGCCGGGAATTGAACTCAGGACCTTTGGAAGAGCAGGCAATGCTCTTAACCGCTGAGCCATCACTTTAGCCCCTGGACCATTCTCTTATTAAAACCCAAATCCATTATTTCCTTCCTTGATGACCCTGTTAGAACAGAATTATATTTGTAATAACCTTTTAAATTATAAAGTACATAAACCCAGAGATGGAAATTTTAAAGGAAGAAAACTATATATCATGATCATTTCCTGTGTTGCTACAAACTTATCAACACTGTGGTGGCTAGGTATTACTCCACTGTGGGCTTAAATCTCTTCACAGGGGGCTGGAGAGATGGCTCAGTGGTTAAGAGCATTGCATGCTCTTCCAAAGGTCCTGAGTTCAATTCCCGACAACCACATGGTGGTCACAACCATCTGTAATGAGGTCTGGCGCCCTCTTCTGGCCTGCAGACATATACGCAGACAGAATATTGTATACATAATAAACAAATAAATATTTTTTAAAAAAAAATCTCTTCACAGTTGCTTGTCTATCGCTCTGAAGACAGTGGGGCTGGAAGAATGGAGCCTAAAAGTGAAGCAGGCTAACGTCTCATGCAATAGCCAGCTCTATTCAGAGCATCAGACAATTTACACTCAGAGCATTAAGAAAGGTCACATGAGCAGAGTTCTCATGAGGTCAAGGTGAATACAATCACAAAAAGAAGCCACATGTGGGTTTTTATTTCATCGAGGCAGTATGAATTAACAACAGCTGAAATAAGCTCGCGCCTATCCAGCACACCTGGAAGGAGCATGAGAACACAGTTGGAGAAGCTGAGGTCACAAGATTCTTGTCTTGTGTTCTGGAGGTTTTCTCACAAGCACAAAGAATTCTCCTCACAGAAGTTCGTTTTTTGGACCGATTTCTGGCCAGTGACCAAATTATTTGTGTGTTTGAATTTATCACATGCACACTGAGGGTACTCACATTTTGTCATTCATTTTCATTGATCATATTTCGGTCATTGTTATTTTAAGGCTATGTGCTGTCATTATGACTGATAGACTATAGTTTATTTTTCAAAAGTCAGTTTGTATCATTTCACATAGAGTCATTCCGATGTTTTAATTAAGAACACGCACCTTAGAACTAAGTGCAGAAAAGGTCGGTGTCACACATTAGTGCATCTGTTTTGACAAAGTCGTCATGTTCTTTCTTATTACATTTAATGTGGTGAGCCCTCCAGAATGCCACCACGAAACCATGAGACTAATGCTCAGAGTGTCCACTGTGCACACTCGAGTCGTGTACTAAGCTGCTGGGACATTCGCTGGGTTCAGTTTCCTTTAAGGTCCTGCGTGTCAGCTCCTCATGTCTTTGCCTTTTCATTTCAGACAATTCCTCCTCCCTCCAGGAAGATGAAGAAGTAGAGATGGAAGCTATCAGCTGGCAGGCCGGCAGTCCAGCCATGAATGGGCACCCTGCCGTCCCACCAGTGACCACTGCCCGTTTCCCCAGCTGGGTCACTTTTGATGACAATGAAGTCAGCTGCCCTTTGCCACCGGCCACCTCTCCTGCAAAACCAAATACACCATCGGTTGCAACTCCCACCCCAGATGCATCTTACAACCCAACTGGGTCATTTAAGAGGGACCGTCCCAAGAGCACACTGATGAACTTCTCCAAAGTTCAGAAGCTGGACATTTCTTCCTTAAACCGTCCGCCTTCCGTAATCGAGGCACCTCCCTGGAGGGCCACCAATCCTTTTCTGAATGAGACGCTGCAGGATGTACAGCCCTCCCCTATCAACCCGTTTAGTGCTTTCTTTGAAGAGCAAGAGCGGCGCTCCCAACGCAGTTCTGTTTCCACGGGCAAAAGCCAAAGAGATTCTCTCATTGTCATCTACCAGGAAACCATCAGTTTTGACGATTCGGGCAAAAGCCAGTCCCACCCCGATGCTATTGAAAAGCTCAAACAGCTCCAAATTGATGACCCCGATCAGGTCGGCCCTGCTGCCTTGCCTGATGACGACCCCATAGCCTGGGTTGAACTAGATGCTCACTCACCTGCCTCAGCTCTGTCTCAACCCAGGGATGGATGGCCGATGATGCTACGAATCCCCGAGAAGAAAAACATCATGTCCTCTAGGCACTGGGGACCAATCTACATCAAACTGACAGACAGCGGCTACCTGCAGCTGTATTACGAGCAGGGCCTGGAAAAACCATTCCGTGAATTCAAGCTGGAGATCTGCCATGAGGTTTCCGAACCCCGGCTCCAAAACTATGATGAGAACGGGAGGATCCACAGCTTGAGGATAGACCGCGTCACTTACAAAGAGAAGAAGAAATACCAGCCCAAACCGGCTGTGGCCCACACAGCCGAGAGGGAGCAGGTGATTAAACTGGGTACCACCAATTATGATGATTTCCTGAGCTTCATCCATGCGGTTCAGGACTGTCTCATGGATTTACCGGTGCTCTCCATGGACTTGAGCACGGTTGGCTTAAACTACCTCGAAGAGGAGATTACTGTGGATGTGAGAGACGAATTCTCTGGCACCGTAAGCAAGGGAGAAAACCAGATCCTCCAGCACCGTGTCTTGACCCGGATCCACGTCCTGAGTTTCCTGTCTGGGCTCGCTGAGTGCCGCCTGGGCCTCAATGACATCCTTATCAAAGGAAACGAAATCGTTTCCCGTCAGGACATCATGCCCACCACCACCACAAAGTGGATCAAGCTCCACGAGTGCCGGTTCCACGGGTGTGTGGATGAGGACGTGTTTACCAGTTCCCGGGTTATTCTTTTCAACCCTTTGGATGCGTGCCGGTTTGAGCTAATGAGGTTTAGGACAGTATTTGCCGAGAAGACCTTGCCCTTCACGCTCAGGACGGCAGCGAGCATCAACGGGGCAGAGGTAGAGGTGCAGAGCTGGCTGAGGATGTCGCCTGGCTTCTCATCCAACCGTGACCCCCTCACTCAGGTTCCCTGTGAGAACGTGATGGTTCGCTACCCAGTGCCCAGCGAATGGGTGAAAAACTTCCGCAGGGAAAGTGTTCTAGGGGAAAAGTCTTTGAAAGCCAAAGTGAACCGGGGGGCAAGTTTTGGCTCGGCTGGTGTCTCTGGCTCTGAGCCTGTCATGAGAGTAACTCTGGGAACTGCCAAGTATGAGCACGCCTTCAATGCCATTGTGTGGAGGATAAACCGGCTGCCAGATAAGAACTCAGGTAGGTAGGGATTCTCTGGAGACAGCCGCTGAGACAGCTGAAAACTGTAGCCTATACCTTCTATAGCCATAGCTATCTGTGTAGCATCTGATTACATTGTGTGGTGGAAATGGGGGGAACAGGGAGGGGAGACGAGGAGACTAAAAAAATCTGCATGTGGTAGCAACCACGATGAACCAGTATTTGCATAAGATGTATTACACTGCTCAGCTGAGCAGCTAAACAGCTTTCCGGGGCATCTTCTGAATTGTGTATGTATGCATGAGTATGTGTGTGTGCAAATGCATGTGTGCGTGTATGCATGTATGTATAGAAACCAGAGAAAGTCATCAGATGACATTGTTGTTAGGGTCTCACTGGCCTGGAACTCAATCTGCCAGGTCAGCTAGGTTGACTGACCAGCGAGCCCAAGTGATCCATCTATCTTTATTTCCCCAGCTATGGTTTATTTTGTTGTTGGTTTATTTTACTATCGTGTATATGCGTGTTTGGGCTACATACATGTCTGTGTGCCATGTGTACACATTGCAGAGGTCAGAAGAAGCTTTCAGATCCCATGAAACTGAAGTTCCAGTGGGTTGTGACTTAGCATGTGCGTGGTGGGACTAGAACCCAGGTTCTCTGTAAGAACAGCCGGTGCCCTTAACCTCTGAGCCATCTCTCCAGCCCGTTCCCAGTTTGGGGATCATATACATGCACCACCACACCTGGCTCTTTTATATTAGTTCCTAGGATCGAATTATATTTTATATTTATAGGTCCTTAATATTAGCATTTTACTTATTGAACCGTCTCTCCAGCACCTTGAAGGTTTGTTGAACTCGTTATTAGGTGTGGTACTAAAAACCATTTATTCCCTGATCCTGAAAGTCTTGTGGGGTCTGAAGAGGAACTCTATCTCCTTAATGAGGGTGAAAGAGCCAATTGATATCCAACCACACACAGTACGTAGGAGAAGCGAGCCTCTGCAACTAGCTGTGGTCAGTCATAATATCTCAGACCCAGAGTCTGGCTTTGGGATTCTTGATGGAAAAGAGACTAAATATCCAGGATATCAAGGTCCAAGGGGCCAGAGTTCCACCAGACAGAAAATAAAGAAGGGAGTGTTGGATTTAAACAAACTTTCCAGCCTAGCTGCCCTGCTCCCAGCCAGGGGCTGTGCTGCTGTGTGTACAAGAGCCCAGAAGGCAGCTGCTAGCGAGACTTCGGGAGTGACAGAACAAGGCAGCTACAACCAGCTGTAATGGCTTTATTTTCTGAATTGCGTCTAAGTGACCTCAGTGGCCCGTGAAGAGCCTGTGATCCCACAAGCCTTTAAACCACTTCTCCTCTTGTCTGTAATAAACCATGCCCATCTGTTAAGGAAAAGTGGAAGGCAAAAAGAAGAAAGGAAGAAAAAAAAATACTGGCTTGAAATCCTGGTCAAAGCGCCTTGCCCCTGCTGGCTCACATTCCCACTCTTGAATCATTACCGTGTATTCAGGGTGTTCTGCCGCCAGTGTGGACTGGCTGCATTATCATATCTAAAACGGAATTCGATGAGATAGCAAGAGGCCACGCAGTCTAATCAAGTCCTGAGGCTGCCCGGGGAGTAGGCAAACACCGGGCATTCTGTGTCTGACACTGGCTATAGCAGTGCCAGCCAGAGACAATCAGACCTCTGTGCTGGGGGCCAGGGCAGCTTCACTCTGCTACTGCACTGACAGGATTTGGAAAACAGGCTTCGTCCCGCGCCTGCTCACTCATTGCTCAGGCCTGCATTCTCCCTGTGCTCCTGTGCTGGCTGCCTCAGTCGGCCATCAGGGCCCACCTCACTCCACAGTGGAAATGAGTGTTAGGAATTTTTCCTAGAGAGGTGTGGCTGGAAAGGCATCTCGTGTACTGTCGATGAGAAGCCCTGTGTTCTCTCTCCTTTGGCAGGGAAGCCCTGGGGAAGAGAAAGCTGTGAAAGGACTGGGCCTTCAAGCTGGGCCGTAGATGAGAGAGTAAAATCTGAGAGATGACACTACTCACCTGAAGTCACGGAAATGCACACAGGGTTCTCTTCTCAATACCACAGGTCCCCTTATTGATGAAGCCAAATAGGTGCATGCCTCAAATCATGTCCACCATGGGAACAAAACTTTGTAGTTTCTTAAGGTAATTTAAAGTATTTACAAGTGCTGCGTGAAGGATTATAGTTATAAGCAACAAGGGCCAACCTTAAATGGGAATGGCGGGGGAGGGGGTATGGGTAGCTCTCTGAACTGAGGAAAGGTTAAACAACACACGTCAGAAGAGAGAGCTCTGGATCAGCACTAGTCACAGAAACTGAGAGTTGTCTCGGTACAGCCATGGAGACAAATTTTTATCATCATTTTTGGTCCTTGGGCCACTTGGCTCAAGTTGAAAAGTAACCAGAGCAATCAAGATGCAGAGACCATGGCAGAGTGCTGCTTACTGGCTTGCTCCTCGTGTCTTGCTTAATCTGCTTTCTTGTAGAGCCCAGGACCACCAGCCTAGGGATGGCACCACCCACAATGAGCTGGGCCCTCCCACATCCATCACTAAGTAAGAAAATGCCCTGTAGGCTTGCCTACAACCCAGTCTTATGGAAGTGTTTTTTTCTCTGTTGAGGCTCCTTCTCTGATGACTCCAGCTGGTTGTCATAAAACTAACCAGTACAGCTGGCAAGGATTGCCCAGCTTCTGCCTTCCTCGTCACAAAACCAAAGAGCTGGTGATGACCTACTGATTCCAACCCATTTTCTGAGTTGTTTATAAGGTATCACCCGTAACAAATTGCCTTTTTTTACTTTTTTAAGGTTTATTTATTAATTATGTATTCAGTAGTCTGTCTGCATGTATGCTACAGGCCAGAAGAGGGCACCAGATCTCATTACAGATGGTTGTGAGCCACCATGTAGTTGCTGGGAATTGAACTCAGCACCTCTGGAAGAGCAGTCAGTGCTCTTAACCTCTGAGCCATCTCTCCAGCCCCCCCCCCTTTTTTTTTGAGGTGGGGACTGGTTTTTTTTTTTTTTTTTTTGAGACAGGGTTTCTGTGTAGGCTTGACTATCCTGGAACTCATTTTGTAGACCAGGCTGATCTCAAACCCACAGAAATCTGCTGGCCTCTGCCTCTTAAGTGCTGGAATTAAAGGTGTGTACCACCATAGCCGAGCTGGTAAATTGCTTTTTACAGATTGTTTTTTCATAAGTACAACCTCCATTACCGTGAAAAGTGTCTGATCCGAGCAAATGTCCAAAGCCAAGCCTCTCTGTATACACTGTCCCCTGGTCATACATGGGAATGTGAATGGCCCACAGAACACACTAAGAGATGAAACATTCAGTCCTGCACAATAACCTTTTTTTTTAGCTGGTTCTTACTGGTCTAGGTAAAGAGAAAACATACCCAATGTGATGGCCCTTTTTTGGAAATAATATGAATCTTAATGCTGAATTTCATCAGGAAAGACAAGTTAACATACACACACACATATTTGGATATATTTGGCTTTTCAAGACAGGGTTTCTCTGTGTAACAGCCCTAGCAGTCTTGGAACTAACTCTGTAAACCAGACTGGCCTTGAACTCACAGAGATCCGCTTGCTTCAGCCTTCTGAGTGCTGGCTTAAAGGCGCACGCTACCACCACCTGACTCCCCTTATGCATTCAGTAGCTGAGACTAGGAAACCAGGACAAGACGTGGCTTGCAGAGTTTTCCTGTCTCACTCACGCTTAGAGACAAGCTGAGGAGTAATTTCTCTGTATCCCAGCAATGTCAACTAAAGCTAATTAGAGCAAAACAATTGTTTCAAGTTGCCTTTTGAGATGAGAGGCCTTCTGCACGGTAGTGAGCAAATCCGTAACAGCGTGCCGAGTATTTAGAACCTGGTTTGCAAGTCAGCGAGGTCTGAAAATTTTATTCTCAGCTACACTGCTTAATGGTGGTGTGACCTCAGGCCATTTATTTAACCCTTTTAGAGAAATCTATTTCTTCTCATCTACGAAGTAGGATTATTGATACCCAGCTCGTTCAGAATAAGTTGGATGGTGCTTTTCAGTGTGAAGCCGAATATTAGTGGTGCTGATACGTGATGGCTCTGAAATTGGTCTGCGGCACAGGGGGATAGAACGAACAGATTCATCGCAGACACCATTGTGTTTTCTTATTATTATGTGTATCTTATTTCAGTTTATTTCCTAAAAACCAGTGTGAAATTTTCAGTTGAATTTCCTAGCCTTACTGTTTAGAAATAACCCTCCAAGTATTTTACGTTCGTGAGACAGAGAAAAACAAATACTTCACTCTGTAGCGCGCTCCTTGGAGAGAGGGTGTGTCTCCCCCGACTTCTGAGATTGAAAAATCCTGCCCGGAGCAATAAAGAAAATTGAAGTTATTTATTTGGAGAAGCAGGGAGGAGTCAGACAATTCCATCAGAGCCCTGTCACGCAGTTCGTCTGTAGCCCCTCGCTGTTCTCCATCTCTGGGCTGTTGTCCCACAGTCTGACCTTCGTGTTTGGGGACCATGAGTTGTGACTCAGACAAAGGGGTGACAGCCCACAGTCATAGGTAGCTCCGCCAATTTCTAGTATGACCTGTGACAGCTGACTTTGTCTCCAGAGACCGCAGTGACCTTAAGGCGGTGGTTCTCAACCTTCCTAATGCTGTGATCTTTTAATATAGTTCCTCATGTTGTGGTGATTGCCAACCATAAAATTATTTCATTCCTACATCATAACTGTACTGTTATAAACCGTACTGTAAATATCTGAGATGCAGGATATCTGATATGTGACTCCCCCCCCCCCCAAAGGGGTCGTGACCCACAGGTTGAGAACTGCTGCTGCTCTGAGGACTTGTGATGAGCTTCAGCCAGTAGGTCTGTGTGGAGAATCTAGCACAGGGCACCCAGCCATCCCCACTGAATGAAGAAGGACAGTGATGTTCAGATGTCATAGTCGCACAACTAAACTCTTTTCCCCCTCAAATCTAGCTTGTCAAGTGAAAAGTTGATCCTAATTTTACCTGTAAGTACAGTCAACCGTACACACAGAGTCAGCCACGGCTCTTTAATTCTGCGTTTATTGTACAGCCGTTTTTTCGTGCCCCTCCTGACCACTCCACTTTCCAGATGAGGAGTTCAGGTCAGAAGAGAACAAAGGACTTTTCCGCTTGGAGAACTGCAAGCCGACCAAGGCGTTATGACTACAGATCAGACCGTCTGTCCTTTGCACTGTATTCCCCGATGTCATGTGCGCTTCTGGAAGTCTGTCACTTTCATATGTCATCCACCCACAGAAACATGCCTGAGGCGTCTCTGAAAATAGAAAATGCTATTAAGAAAATTCATCTTGTAAAGGAAAGCGGTTTGCTCCAGGTGGCCGTCACTGTTGCTGTATTAGGTGCCAAGTGCTACTCAATCTCTTCTCTCCGTTCTTCCACTTCTAAGCACCCCTTCCTTAGTGTTTGTGCTGTGTCTACATAGCTCTTTGACCTAAACAGGCACAAGGGCCCCAGTTTCTCAGGTGTGGGGTTTTGTTTTCGTTTGAAAATGGTGTTTAGTCACTTTGATATCTATTCTGTGTGCACTGATGTTTTCTCTGCCTGTATGTCTGTGTGAGGGTGTCAGATCCCCTGGAACAAGAGTTACAGTCAGTTGTGAACTGCCATGTGGGCGCTGAGGATCAAACCCAGGTCCTCTGGAAGAGCAGCCGGTGCTCTTAAGCACTGAGCTATCTCTAGCGTGTAATCAAGAGGCACACAGAGCCTGACGTCTGCATACAGAAGCCCCCTTGCTCAGCATTGGACCCCCCGAAAGTGCCAGGTGCACAGCCTGCAGACTGCTGTTATTATCAAAGTAGCTCTCTGGCTTCTTGTCCTTTTTAATTTCATCCTCAAAGTACTTGACCTCTGATTTCTTTTTTTTTCTGTTATAGCTTCTGGTCACCCACACTGTTTCTTTTGCCACCTCGAACTTGGCTCTGACCGGGAAGTGCCTTCCAGATTTGCCAATTATGTAAATGTCGACTTCAGCATGCCCACGACTTCTGCCTCCAAAGCAGCTGTGAGGTCCATCTCTGTGGAAGACAAGCCTGGTGTCAGGAAGTGGGTCAATTACTCTGCCCACTACAGCTACAAGGTAGCCTCAGGGGGCTCTGGGCTGATGTTTCCCCAAGTCCATTTGTTCGTTCAACCCCTCCCCCTCTTCCTTTCGGCAAATTCTTCTCATATCAAGGAACTTTACACTCATAGCTGTGGATAAATCAGCTCCGACTTTAATGAAATAATCTCTCCTGGGTAAGAGAAAGGTTTGGAGAAAAAAGAATTAAGGGGCTGATGACGGAAATAAAGAATATAATGTCTGACACCATGAATGATAACAAAAGAACAGAGGGACCAAGCAATAATTGTTACTCACCTGTGACATAATTTGGGTTTTGGAAATGGAGGGGAGCACTGAGAACGTGATAAGCTGAAGCAAGTATTTCATCTGTGGGAATTGTGTATCAGAACACAACAGAGGCACTCAGAGGGCAGTGAGAGTGTAAAACTTAAAAGCCAAACCCTTTACTTTGATAACAGGATTGAAGCTGTGGGAGAAGTCTGCGGTCAGCGCTGGAGAACTGGTTTTCTGGTGGGGGGTGGAGTGGGAGACAGGGTCCCCTCTGTAGCTCAGTCTGGTTCAAATTCTGTTGTCTTGCCTCTGAGTGCTCAGATTATAGGTAGATGACTGCAAAAGCAAGGACTTTTGGCACAAAGAGGTAGACTTGGGTAGACGACTGACTTCCAGAGACGGAAGGGAAAGAGGCATTATTAAGACTTTGCAAAGATATTTGGCAATTTCCTATGTATAATGATTTTCACAGATTTATATAATTTGCTATTCCTTTAAATATTCTTAGTTGTATCACTTAAGCCTTTTAACAACCAAAAAGAACAAATGCCCCCTCTTGTGGCCAGGAAAAAAGCTAGCACTCCCCGCCCCCAACCATGGACTGTAATCTGTCTTCAATTGTTGCCTCCAAGTGGAGAAGTCTAATATCCAGGGTAGGGCTGAGAGGCAGTCGGAATGAGGATGAGATTCCTCAGTTCAAACCTATCAGGGGCTTTAGTTAAGGCCAATTACACTTTAAAAAGATTTATTGATTTATTTGATGTGTGTGGGTGCTTTGTCTACATGCACGTCTGTGCACCCCATGCTTGTAGCACCTGAGAAGAACCTGGAACTGGAGTCACAGACAGTGGAGAGGCATGTAGGTGCTGAGAAGTGAACCCAGGCCCTCCGGAAGAGCAGCCAGTATTGTTAACCACTGAGCTGTCTCTCTAGTGCAAGCCGTGTTACTTTGAAAGGGCAACTTCTTGGCAGTATTTAGCAGAAGATAGGCTAGACTAGGAAATGCTCCGATACTTATTAGCCTAGCGTCTTAAATGAAGTAGCTGGAGAGACGGTAAACTCCGTATTGCCTATTGGTTTCCTCACCTTGGATAAAATGAGCTAGCTCTTGCTCCTGTCCCATGGGGCCTATGGAATAGTGGAGCTGGGGATACCAGAACTGTTCAGAGGGAACTCGGTCACCCCACTGGATGAGGAGCAATCCTGCAAGACAAAGAATAAGAATCTCCCCAGAAGGACCACGAAGAGGGCGTCATGACATATGCGGGATTAGTGGTTCCATTAGGGCAGCAGCCCAGAACTTCCACAAAATAACCTTCTGAGGTTCTTTGGGCTCATTCATTTTCATGCTTTTCCTCTCCCTCCCTCTCATTCCTGATGTTTTCACCATTTTTTTTTTCAGGTGGAAATTGAACAAAAAAAGAGTTTGAAGCCAGACTTTGAGGGAGAGGAGTTGGACAACCCGAAGGAATGTGGGGTACAGTGACAGAGGCCTACTGTGTAAGGACCTGAGGAATGCTGACTCCCGAGCGGTGTCTTCCTGAATATGTTAAGTCAACACCTGCTGTGGCTGCTTCCTGTGTGCAGTCACCTGTGTGTGACAGGAAATCCTGAGAGGGGGTCACTTTCAATAGTCTCCTTGACGCTGAGGATGCCTGAAGCACGGGGTGCACCCGGCTTTTGGAGTGTATTGTATATTGAGCCTCCTTGTCTCTTTTCTGCTTATATCATGACACTGGGGTGTGGTTTATGGTGACGATTAGAGACCTGAAGAGAACGTCCAACGTCAGTCTTGGCACAGTTTGCTCCTGGTATCCATCTGTCCCTTGTAGGTTTCTGGAAAAAGCAGTCTGGAAAGTTAAATCAAGAATCCATCTCCAGGGGTCCCTCTATAAAAAAGTGAGAAGACTTTCAAAACCATTTCTCCTTTGGGTCTACTAGGCCTTTTCTAGAAATCTCCATTCTTTAAATGCTGATTTTACTCCACAGAAGTTTTCCAGATGTTTCCTTTCTATTCTGGATTGTTCAAGATCAAAATGTTTTTTTTTTTTCAACTCCTACTTTCCCATTTGCTATCCTGAGTCATGATACTCAGTGGGAGAGGTCAATCAGATTTTTTTTTTTTTTCAAATTCAGGGGTTGGAGCTTAATTCTACAAATGGCCTGGATTGTATCCACGGTCTGTTGAAAAGAACGGAAAGCTGAACTATTTTTTCTCCACTTGAAGGAAAGGGGACATTATGTGTAATTATATTCAGTTCAAAGACAGGTTCAGTCATAATGAATTGTCAGGGTCTCACCGATCACCTCTAATTCCTGAAATACAGGCATGGCTATGGGAGAGGCCTGTGAGAAAGACACTTGGGAGTTCTTTTTATACCTCGTAGGCAGTGACTGTTACATGTCCCTTTAACTCGAAATTTAGAGAAAACTTAAAGAGTAAAAGCTCAATTGGAATGAGCTTTGCCTCAAAGAACAAGGTTGGTGGTCAGCGTTCTGAAAGTACCAAGAGGCAGAAGCCTCCGGGGTGGGGCTGGAGAAAGCCGGATTCCTGGTGTTGTGAACATGAAAACCTGTTTCTGAGAACCAGAACTTCCCTTTCTGTCCCATGTTCCCAGCCCACCCACTGTTCCCTGTCCCTGCTTTTTTGTACCTTGGTGTTTTCTCTCCTGAAGGATAAAGTGAGGAGACAGAATGCATATTTTATCAGGCTGGGGACATATAAGGAAATATAAAATACCTGCAGTTTGGGACTGACTGATTCAAGATTTATATATTGAGCTCATATTCAGTGAGGTCGATCTATGTACTGGCCTTAGACATTAGAAATCATTGCAGTGTTTTAAACTGTGTTGTTTTGTTTTGTTTTCAAGACAGGGTTTCTCTGTGTAGCCTTGGCTGTCCTAGAATTCTCTCTGTAGACCAGATTGGCTTTGAACTCAGAGATTCATCTGCCTGTCTCCAGAGTGCAGGGATTAAAGGCGTGTGCCACCACCTTCCCCAGCTTGAACTATGTTTTTAACTATCTAAGCATTAGATTGAAATGAAAAGGACAAGCTGCATAAGCATAAACCTGTATTTTGAGTTTTTAAAATGCCACCCTTTCAGTTAGAAGTGTGTGTGTGTTCGTAGAACCCAGGAGGCTGGGTTTTATAGCAGTTCATATAGAAATGTTTTCTTAAGGAAATGAGAGGTTGGTTTTGAACCAGCTATTCACAAAGCTAATGCATGCCATCTGTGATGGTAGGGGTTTAAACAACTCTGCATGGTGCATTCGCCCACACATGCCTGAATGGATGCATTAATAGGTTGAATGTGTCCACAGGCAGGTAAGCAAAGTTGTGAAGATGGTGACTCTATAAGGACCGGGGGAGGGGGTGGGAGTGTCCTCAGGAACAGAGGGTATAGCTGCGAACGGAGGACAGTTTGGAAATGATGTAACGGCTGCCACAAAGTTTCAACTAAACTATAAAAAGGAAGAGGAGTTAGATTTGCTTTGCATAGCTTCAGAGGCAAACAGAATAGAAACCGGAGAGAACTTTACAGATGACAGATGTTTGCTCAAGATAAGCATCTTCTAGTAAGGAGTGCTCTAAAGAAGAAAAAGATGTCCTGCTGTAGCAGATGCCCATGGGTTAACTGAGCCACGCCTATCCCAGGTGCTGTGAATGGGACTGTCATGTTGGTTTGGGGCAGGATGACAGGAAAGCTCTTTTCCAAATAGTCTCGATAGGAATGAGACGCTCCAGCTGGAGACAGCCTTTCTCTGTTTTCGTCCTGTGGGAGGACAGTGGGATCCTCAAAAAGAACTTGGTCAAAGAATCCCATGTCATTTCTGCTGTTAAGCCAAAGGCCTTCAAGAGTTCTCAGATACCCAAGTGCTTGAAGCATGGGCAAGAAGGTCATCCCTAGCCCGGCGCTGTCAAGGGCCCTGTCTCTGAGGTAGCATAGAGTGCACAGTACCTGTGCTGTCTAATCTCCTACCCCCTCGGTTAATTCTTCTTGCTTTGGTGCTTCTCCTGGACTGTTTAGAATTTCGTTGTTTCACCATTAATCAAACATTGGTTGAAAAAAAAAATATTCCCGGGGCTGGAAAGATGGCTCAGAGGTTAAGAGCATTGCCTGCTCTTCCAAAGGTCCTGAGTTCAATTCCCAGCAACCACATGGTGGCTCACAACCATCTGTAATGGGGTCTGGTGCCCTCTTCTGGCCTGCAGGCATACACAAAGAATATTGTATACATAGTAAATAAATAAATATTAAAAAAAAAATATAAAAAAAAAAAAAAAAAAAAAAAAATATTCCCCTCTGTGCTATTTGTATCTAGTAAGCAAATTATCTAATCTTTAAAAATCTACTACCTTGATCACCAGATTTGTTTTGCCTCCACTGTGCTTAGGGTCATTCTGGATAACAGTGTATGGAGCTGAGGAGTATAATAAGATGTATTTGATGACTTATGAATAACCTATATGAAAATCATAGTTAGGCAGATTGCCCTTTTGATATACAGAATGTGTGCTTGCCGTTTGGGTCCTCGGTTATTTTTCCTGTGGCCACACACACACACACACACACACACAAATCCTAGTCTGTGTTCTCAATCATGAAAAAGTGTAAAAAGAGGATGGATTTTACCAATGCAGTTCGAACACGCTTGGGGTCACATGGTTTCAAAAACTTTATTATTGAGTCAAGAGCTTGTTTTTCAACTTTACAGTCAAACAGGACAAAAAAAGATACTCATTCTACTATGTCAAACAAGGGGACTGGCTGTGTAGCTCAGTGGTAGAGAACTTGTCTAGCAAGCACAAGACCCCAGGTTCAACCCCCAGTACCAAATAAGCAAGCAACGAAAAGGGTGGGAGGGATCTTGAAGACAGACCCCCGACACCTCTCTTGTAGACGTAGTGCTGGTTAGTTTTTCAGAAGCCAGCCCTTTGATCCTAGCAGACTTTTTCTTTTGTTGTTGTTTTGTTTCCTGTTTGCTTCCCCACCTCACTACCTTCCCACATTTCTTCCAGGCTTGTCCTCAAGATTATTCCTTCATTCAAAAGAGTCCTTCTTTGAAATGAGACTAATTTCTGTGCAGAAACCTGGCTGGGATCAGGAATGTATGTCCCTAGAAGGTCTACTCCTGAGGAGTGTGCTACATGAAGACAAATTATTGTGGTTATTACTGAACCACTCTCCTTGTGATTTAAAGGCTTGCCACAAAGTGTGAGCCCAGCCCCCTTAACTCCTGTCAAATACACTCATTAAATGAGTGGAAATTATCAGCGCTTTGGCTCTGAGACCGCTTATCCTTTGCTTAGTTAGCATCTGGTCCTCACGTTACAGCTAACAAGCAGGCAGCACTCATTTTCCAGAGGACTTAAACACTTCTATTTTGCTTTTGTTCCTGCCACCAGTGTCAACCAAGCGTCAGGACAGAGGCACTTCCTGAGTGGCTGACGCTGACCCACACCAGACCTTATTCATATTGAGAAACATTTTTGCGCTCAGAGATGGAGGGGCGCAGGTGTTGGCCACAGTTAGGCTATCGATCCAGTTTTATTGCTGCCAGTCCCACAGACCTGTGAGCCCTGCCTGGCCTTGCCCACAAGAGTAAGTAGTGGAAGATGCAAGAGTCTGATGGAGCACACAGCCAGTCCTGCTCTGTCAGGTCTTTGTCTTCCCACATTGACCAGTGCTACTGTGCACACCACATCCCCACATGGGATGGGGATCTGAGATGGGAAGGCTGAGGCTCACCAGGTGAAATCATGATTTCAAAATTTCTACTTTAAGCGGGGCGGTGATGGCGCACGCCTTTAATCCCAGCACTCGGGAGGCAGAGGCAGGCGGATCTCTGTGAGTTTGAGACCAGCCTGGTCTACAAGAGCTAGTTCCAGGACAGGCTCCAAAACCACAGAGAAACCCTGTCTCAAAAAACAAACAAAAAAAAAAAGTCTACTTTATAATCAGTTTAGGGGGAGAGAGAGAGAGAGAGAGAGAGAGAGAGAGAGAGAGAGAGATTGAGCTGATCTTTTTCTATTTTTCCTTAAAAGTTCAAGGAATTAATTGTTATGAGTTGGAAGCGATACCATCCAACCTACTTGTATAATTTCTTCTGGTAAAAACTGGTATTTTTTTAAAAAGTGTTTCAGGATAGGTTTTCCCTGTGTAGCTCTGGCTGTCCTGGAACTCACTCTGTAGACCAGGCCTGCCTTGAACTCAGAGAGCCAACTGCCTCTGCCTCCTGAGTGCTGGGATTAAAGACGTGTGCCACCACCACAAAGTTATTCTTCTAAAAATGGTTGATTTAAATTAATCAATCCTAGCTTGTCTGAAGTTGAGGTTATGATTGGATTAGACTTTGATAGAGAATTGATGAACAGAGCTAACAAAAATTAAAAATATGCCATCTAGTAAATGAATCTTGTATTAACATTTCTACCAAGCTGTGATAGCATTTTCTATAGAATTAGTCAATGTATTCTCACCATGATTCTAATTGATGTTTTCTAAACATGACCAGTGTCAATTTACCAGTTCCCTACACATGACCATGTTTTATTTATGCTCTTGTAAATGAGATTGGTTTTGGATATTATCATTTATAACTGAAGGAAATACAGAAAGCAGTCTTAAGAGTAGGAACAAATGCATGTATTAGTAATAGTCCCATGGTCACTCAAGTAAGAACATGGAAGCTTTATTTTTCTTCTAGTGTGCCTTAGACAATTTGCCAATGAAAGTCAGTCTTATGCGGGAGAATTGTCTGTATTCTGTCAATCATGTTTTAAATAAATGCTGATTGGCCAGGCAGGAAGTATAGGTGGGAAAACCAGAAAGGAAATAGAAATGAGGTAATGAGAACAGGAGAATTCTGGGAAGGAGGAAGTTGATTCCTTCCACTCCTGCCCAGACCACTGAAGCAACAGGATGTGATCTGCCCCACTGAAAAAAGGTACTGAGCCACATGGCTAACATAGATCAGAAAAATGGGTTAATCAAGATGTGAGAGTTAGCCAATGAGAGGCTAGAGCTAATGGGCCAATCAGCTTTATAACTTACAGAGATCTTTGTGTGATTTTCTTTGGGCCTAAACAGCTGGGGGTACCGGGAAGGACAGAAACCCCAACAAACAAGCAGGTCTAGCCCTTCTTGTTACAGTCTTATACTTTAAGAATTGAAAGAGGGACTATGTGTGTGTGTGTGTGTGTGTGTGTGTGTATACATGTGTGTATGTGTATACATATATTTCACCCTTTCAGTTCTTAAAGTATGTGTATTGCAATTCCAAGCCCACAAAGGTAAGAAAGTTTCTATAGTACTATGTTCTGCAGAACCTGGAACAATGCAAATAAAAGCTAGATGTAATGAAAAGCTACTAAAGAACAAACTAAAGAAAATAATAGTGAAAAGAGTTGAAGGATTTATAGCATTGGCCACCCAAGATTCAATGTAACCTGAACTGGAGGTCGTCTCTTAAAGTAAGAAGCTGTGGGAAAGAGGGGTGCCTAGCAGGACTAGACAGCAGAGCTCTTCAGCTCAGCTCAGCTTGCATCGAGTGCCCTGGCTAAGGGATTCCTTGAAGGGAGGAGAGGCTGTCCAATAGGATGCTAAGGATCGTTGTTGGTAGCCATGCGGGGATGACTTTGTGAAGGGGAAGTTGCATAAGCATGAGGACAATCACTATTGCTAACTCACCTGTTATTTCCCCAACTTGATGTCAGTTTCCAGAGACAAAAGAGAGAGAGGGCTGGACTTTCACTTCTTGGGTTATTTTTTTTTTCCCAGCTGTGGTTTTATGGGTTGTTTCACAAAATGTCCTTTCTTGCCACGTTTTGTTGATATTCCTTGTCTCTGAGGTTCTTTATCCATGCTTACGAACCAAGACGTTTAAAACATGTATGCTGAAGAGGCCAGCTAGTTTTTATCTTTTTCTGCTCAAACCCCTTTCCCGTCCCCATCTGTTTAGATGACAGAACTGCAGGAAAGCCCCCAATTCTCTGTTCTACGGTTGACTTCAAAATACCAGTTCAATACAAAGGTCAAAAGGGTAGTTTCCCGGTGAATATTAGGATGTGAATACCAGGTGAAACATAAGTAGATCTAATCCTCCAAGTACTGAAGATGTTAGGATGTAAGATGGTCTAGGATTTATAGGTACATCCTTTTATGTGGATGGCTATAGGAGGGAGGAGAGAACAGAAACTAATCTGGAGCCATCTTAGTTACAAGAAAGTCAAATGAGAGAAAACCATGTTAAAACATATTTAATTTTTTTAATGTGGATCATTATAAAATAACTTTCTGTGGCTGTATTTGAGCATGACTTTAATTTCTCCTCTGGTTAGACTTAGTCAGATACAATGGGTCAGCGCTAACTGGTCAGGTGGAGTCCCAGCATCCTCTCCGTCGTTCCCATGTTCTGCCTCAGACGGAACCCCAGTTCTCACTGTGGAGACTAGCCACACTGTGACTGAAGCCTGAAGCGCCACCATTGCCCGCTCCACGTGCTCTGCGATGGGCCATCCTAGCGCGACTCCCAGCAGCAAGTTCTGTGAACACAGATGTACACTTAACTCCTTATTGGATCTAAGGGTTTTCAAGAACGGCATGTGAGGAGGACGTGAGCCCCTTTCCCCTCCTGCCGGCATTCGTTTATCTTTTACGTTCACTTGCCAACAGAATCTGGAGAACCCTTTGCCATATTCAGGAGGCTAAACGGGATCACTGAGAAAAGGCAACGCGGGAGCATCCCTTCTCGCCCGCCCCCTTGTGATGTCTGTGTGAATTTCAGTGTGTCCGAGTGGTTGGACCCAAGATCCAGTGAATGGCTTCACTGATCTGAGGCTTGTATTTCACTTCATTTGTCAACTTATCCTTACTCGGTGTAACTTCTTGCACTCTTGTGGCTAATTTTAATGTACCAGTTAACTTTTAAAAGAATGTGCCTACGTAACAAAGTCTACACACTGGCTATTCCTGTAGAGGTGAGGTTTTGTTTTCAATGTTTTGCTGAATAATCTGTAATATCTTTTTCGAGCTATGAAAAGGAAGTATTAATAAAACATTTTTAAGCAAAGTATCATTGCAGCATTTAATAAATGCAGGCGTGATAAAGAATACATTTGCCGGCTATGGTGGCTCATGTCTTTAATAAAAGAACAAGAGAGATGGCTT